AATCACAGTAAAACCAGCAAATCAACGAGCAGCATTAGCTGCTCCAAGACGCGGATCATTTTCACGTAACAGTCAAATGTCATCTGGAAGTCATCAATCAACACAGAGTGCTGCAACTGGTAGTGATGAAGATGCAGATGAGATTGCAGATTTGACTGGTGTCACATTACAAGATGATGCAACAACTTCCCAACATCACCATTATCATCACCACCATCAAAATCACTTTAATCATGATCAGGGTGTCTTACATTTGTAGATTGTTACATATTCTTGAAACAGTTGGTCCCTTTCAAATCATCAAAGGTATTTATTTTGGATTTAGACCTATTGATAAGTGAATGGTAATTGAAGAAATATTTGTTTATAGATTTAAACTAAAGATATTTAAATTTATTTCTAAACTTATGGACTACTTACAAATTAGATTTAAACTTATAGAAGATTCAATTAATGAGTATTTGTAATTACAATGAAATTTTTGATCAATTTGGATCATTAAGAACGTATTTCTTTTAAGACAGTTTTTTGTCTATTGTCCTTAAAGTAGTGAAAGTGTTAAAGAGAGAAAATGATATTGAACATCTTTAGGACATTTTACAGTCACACAAGTTTTTAACCAAGTATAAATAATTGTTTTTTCAGTGATGTGAGAAGGTATAGAAAATATAAATCAACTACTCTGATGTCTAAAAAATCTACAAAAGAAAAAGAAAATTTCGTGTATTTTTGAATGGTGCATCCGATTCAGATGTGAAAATATTTAGACAAAGTATAGAAAGTTTTTAGTTATCACATTACTCTCCTTATAAACAGGAGAAATTTTGATGGTTACAGATGTAAGATAAAATTTATCTTATATGCTCAATTGAATATTAGCTTAATGTCACCGTCCCAACGGGGACCTCTGCTATTTTTAATAAAAATGCCAGGTACTTACGGCGCTATGGGAACGCGCCTGTTTTGGGATCGTGTCGATAAGATAGAATAATGATCGAAAAGGAAACATTTTCGTCTCGGAATCGTCACCGCTAGACTGACTCATCAGTGGGGCTGATAGTGGCGACCCCTAACCCCAGACGCTCGGTTGTTAAGTGGGGTCCCTCTAGGCTGGGTATGGAAATCCATACTAGAGGGGTGCCGCAACGGTGGTCGCTCAACCTCGCGATCACTTACGTCGCGCAATCAGCCAGCACCCACCGGCGGACTTAGGATTTTGTATGCCTTGAATTGGTATATATTAAGGACGAATACTGCGGAGACTTGGCACCAGATGAGGCTAATTCATCCGGAGAATTAGAACGATTGTATTGAAGAATTAAAACGCGCTCGATGATTCGCAGTGACGTAGCAACTCAAACGTCGTCACATTAGATATTTATCCATTCAAAAAAAAAGTATTTATAGAAATAAGTATAAATATATACATGACAATAAGAAATTAACATACTAAAGAGAATGCAACATTGTGAAATCATGGTAGCTATTATTTATATAGCTTAATAATAATTTAGTTAAAAATAGAAATCAATATAAAATTCATATGAAATGATTTTTGGAAAAGATTGTGCCTTTGGATATGATATATTTATAATGATTAAAATAATTGTTTGTTATCATTAGTAAATCTTACTAAATCAGTATCATTCTGGAATTTAATTCTATAATTGAAATCTTTCAAATTTTGAACTTTGTATATAAAATAGAGTATTAATATAAAAGTAAAACATAAACAAAGACCATATTCTTCTTATAGATCAAAATTAAATTTTTTAAATTTAGTACTTATTTAACAACATACATTTCTTGTTTTAATACTTTTTGTAGTTAGATATAAATATTACATACAAAAAGTAATAAAATAATAAATTTGTTCAATGTAGAACAAGAAATTATTTTTTTTTAGAAATTTTTTTTAGTATTTAATGTACTTATACACAATGTATATATTTTTTTTTTATCAATCTAGAGATAAAAAAGATATGTAGTAATATGAATATTAACTATGTACATATACAAGCATTATTGGAAAACAGCAATATTTTCAAGTATTAAAACAATATTTATAGTACTTAATATAAGAAACATAAAGTGTTTAAGTTTTACTTTTACTTTACTTAAATTTATACCATAACTATGAATACAAATTTTAAATTTAATGTATAAAATGGTCTTTTTAAAATTACCATTCAGTTTGATAATTTACAATGAAATCTATTGTTACTTTAATTAACATTTTATTCATCACTTCGTAAAACATAAATTTTTTTATTAAATTTAATCACTTTTATATGTATATAATGCAGATGATTAGGTTCAATAATAATTTATCATTGTAAGTAGAGATTTTTATTCAATAGTAACAGAAAATGTATATATGAGTAATTTAAAAAGGCCAAATGCTAATATGTGTATCTCATTTTAACTTGAATATAAAGAATAAAGAAAAACTAAGTGGCCTTATACTTAGATCATTCCAAATGTTTTTCATAAAAATGCAAGACTTGTGTATGTATTCTGTTTATTTTACTATATGTTTAGAGTGTTAAAGTTTTTGAATTTTAATCCCAGTTTTATAAATGTTATTTGTTATCTAATTGAACACTAGATATTAAAATGTACTTTACAAATTTTAAATATAAGAACTTTTAAAATTATAAAACATATTTATATACATGTAAAATATTTTATATATATATATTTGTGCCTCCGTTGTTTTATCTATGAATATAAAAATTGAATTGTGATGAATTATATTTCATTCTATTAATATTATTATACTATTAATACTACCTATATGATAGCATATATTTCTTTGATGACAGCTTATTAAATAAAATATTTTATTATATAACTACATACATTTTATTGATCACCATTTATACTATTTTACATTTTGTTTTTTATCAGTTACTATAGTATATAAATAAAAACAATCAAATAAATAATACAATTTACTTTATACATTGTATTTTTAAAAGAATTTTATATTCAATCAGTTATGTTAACAGTAACAATAATTAATACATAAACTAATTTTTTTAGTAAAAAGAAAAAAATAAATATGTCTTATGTAGAACATGGACCTCGAATTTTTTTAGCTAGCAAACGTAACTCAGGAACGCCTTTGATATATGGTGATTACGTTTTACCGAAGAAACGTTTGGAAGGTCGATTAAAATTACATGATTCTTGTTCAGATATCAGAGCTTGGAGTCCAAATTCTTTAGAGAATTCGCGTTATTTTCGTGAACTTAATGAACATGATTCATCAGTATGTATTTTATTAAACAAAATTATTATGTTAAAGGAAACTTTTTCAGTATGTATTTTCTTTTTACAGATAGGAAAAATAATACCATTTAATGTAATCATTGATAATATTATTCGACTTAATTCAGAAAATCAAAACGAACTTCTGGTAGTTAAAAGAGAACTCAAAAAATATAAAAGCCTTAAACTTAGCCCTAAACAAGAAGAACAATTACAAAATTTAGTAAGATTTTTTAAATAATTTATATTCTAATATTTCATTATACAATATTTTAAAGATTATTTAATTTTATATTATTTTATATTAGGATAATATTTCAAAAGTAAAAGAATTATTACAGAAAAATAATTGTACAACAGGAGTTTCAAAGGATGTATTTTCCAATATCAGTAAATCAGGATCTATAATTCAGTCAAATTCGTTATCAATGCATGTACTTTCCGGAAAAAATGTATCAGCCATAACAAAACAATATAATCAATATTCTTACTCTTTAACTACATTTGATCCATCTTTAAAAAATTATAACTTTATACCATCATGTAAATCCATTATAAAATCATTTCCTGTTGCAGGTAATAATACAAAGAAAAATATTTAAAATTCCTAATTTTCTAAATTTTAATTTGTATGTCAATTTTGTAGATTACAGTGAAAAAACTTCATCCTGGATAGAGTATATTGATGTAGCTGTACAAGTAGTATCAGTATATATTAATCAATTTTAATATTGTAATTAATAATACTTAATAAATGTAATGTCTATTTACAGGCAAAAACAGAAATGCATGATATAAAATTACAAGTTGATGAAGTTGATAAATGTCCAAACAAAATTATGACAATATCTGTATGGATATAATTATGCTCATGCTATTTAAACAATATATTTATGTAAATATTATATTATAGGCAATGTCACAAACATCATTCTCATCAAAATCCAGTGATGAGGATGCAATAGATCTAGACCCAAATAGAAATAATTCCCAAAAAAATAATGTAGAAGAACAAAGCTTTGAGTGTGATGCATCTTGCAGTAATAGTTCACAAGATATTGAAAGTTTAACTGAATCTGACACTGAGATGGAAACAGAATCTGATCTTGATATTCATAACAGCATTCATAAAGGAATTATCATTCAAAAAGATTCTGAAATTATAGTTTTGAAAAATGAACTCTGTGTATGATATTAATTTAATAATTTGTATACTTATAAAAAGCTTATATGCTTATACATATATATTGTAATATATAATTGTACATAGGTAAAAGATGTAGAATTAGAAGAATTAAGTGCTATAAACAAACATTTGGAGAGTTTATTGAAAGAAAAGGAAAATTGTATGTATACTCAACAAGAAAATCTCAAAGCAAGTATATAAAATACAATTTTACAGAACACTTCTAATGTATATTAAAAATTA